CATCAGTGCCGACCCAACTACACCACCACGCGCATGCCTCGCGGCGGATATGCGCAGCAGCAAGAAGGTTTCGGTCATCCCTTGAGGGTGAGTCTAGCCCTGCTCGCCAGAAAGACCCCCCCCTTCACTACAACCCATGTCTAAGCAAAAGCTTGTCGAGGAGCGAGGGGAAGAAGGGAGCCTTAGTCTGCATGAACACACACCCACCTTTCGAATGATATCCGTGGCGATTTGTTTGTAGACGACACCCTGATGATCGGAGATGATATCTTTGATGACACCGTCAACTCTCGAGCGAGTTGATTCAGTAGCCGGCCTATCAGATCCGCTATCTTTCGGTACAGACTTTGTCATGGAAGCTCTTCGTCCCTCTACTGGGCAACGAGGGTGTGCGGTGACCACTGATGGAGAGAGTGAGAGAGCGAACAGCGACCAACAAGATCGGCGGAAGCCCGGGGGCTCCCCACGTTGTACACTAGCTTCCCCGAGGTATGTATTACATTCCGCGGAGCTCCCCCCGCTGCAGCTCCGCAGCTGGCAGCTCACTGGCCCACCACAAACCGGGATCCATCAAACCCTCTCTGTCATCCCGCTTGCGCACCCCTCGTGGAATCAACGTTGGAAGCGGGCTCTTCTTACAGTAGTTGATGTCCTCGTCTCGAAAGCCGGCTTTGTTGGCCACGGTGGTTGCCCTGGGACTGATCGCTGCAGTGTACTACGAACAGGCCGCCCGCCGCCGGAGCAGCACAACGCGGTCAGGCGACACCGACACAGCAGCAGCAGCAGCAGCGGACAAGCAGAGATCAGCGATGGAGATAGACGAGGTGAGAAGAAAGTGCAGAGTACATGACAGCGGCGTGGAGGCATATCAATTCATTCGAGCGAATTCGATGGGGCCACACGAAGGTTTGAACGTTTGAACCCGAGCCAGCAGGTGATGCGGAGGCTGCGGGCCGTTTCGAAATCCCAACTTCTAGAAATCCTATGTAGCCCTATCCCACCACGTGTGTGGGCTGTGGGTGTCGGGAGTGCGTTATACACACAGCGGGTGGGATACCGAAGGTGTGTTAGAGGCGCTCCCATCGGGGAAAGGGGGTCATACTCGCAGTGCTGTGTTGTATTTTCATGTATTAAATACAAGGAACTAGTGCACTCGAGCTTTGAACATCGGTCCAGGGGGGTGTTATCTAACGTCACCCACTGTAGACTCCGTGCTCGGGAGCGCCAGGCGCTGTGTGGTGGCGGTGGCCCCAATGCTTCTACGATCATATGATAGCATGCAAGCAAAGATCCTCTTGCCCGCCGCTAGGGCTTAGCAGTCGCATCAGGAAGGAATGGCGGTGGGGACGGAAGGGCTCGGAATCGATATTTGATAATTGCTAGCAGCGGAGGGCCGTCCGGCCGGCGCAAGCAGGCGCGGATTGCCGCGAGAGTCTACGACGAGCGCATGCTAGGCATGGACTTCCTTTTTCCTGTCCTCTCCGTTCTCAAGAGATATTTTTGATTGTCCGAAGAGAGTTGTGCGTGCCAACGGCATGCTACGATTTTCAGGTGACTCTAGGGGGATCCGCATCTGATACGGCAGTTTTCCGTGCCGGAACTCGTTCCCGATGTGAGGGGGGCTCCCGATCATGCTGCTAATTGTTGGGCTCTCTGGAGTCGTTAGATTAAGACTACATATCCGCGAAGAGATTGGTGATGCCAGCAGGCACAAACCAGCCGGCACAAACAGCAGTCTTGCTGAGCCTGTCGAACAACAGGGGAGATATATCATGTCACTGCGTTCTGTAGGTTTCTCGGGGATCAATAGAGAAGACACGGACAGATATTATGCTACGGTACCCTACGAAATCCAACGCGAAGTAATCCTCTTCATTTATTTTTTTAGTAACGGATGTTTTTCCGGGAATCTACCCGGCACTTCCCCGGAACTTAACAAACTGAAGAATTATGTACATACGCCCGTGGAGGTTGTTTCTGACAATTAGGAAAATATTGGTTCTCGTTGTGTCGTTGATGTTCTTGGGCCATCCTTTTATTTTACGGTCTCGGCAACAATTGTCCACACAAAACACGCAGGAGACCCGCGTCTCCGTACTTGTACACATCTCTATTCATTGCCTATGCCGTCTCCCCTTCATCACACCAACTAAAAAATCATTGTCCGCGATGATGCCCTCCTCCCTCTGCCGGCGCTGCTGCTGCTGCTGCTGCTTCTGCTTCTGCTGCAACTGCGATGCCACCCACCACCCCATCCGCCCCCCCCCCCCCCCCCCCCCCCCCCCCCCCCCCCCCCCCCCCCCCC